AAGTAAAACAATTTAGAAACGAGACTACGTTTATATTTTGCAGAGCAAAATTTCGTTTTGCCAACAGCGGATCGTATATTATTATTTCTTAGGCTGTGTACACATTAGACGTTTTGCATTGCGTTAAACGCGCGTCATCAGCGTACACACCGCGCGTTAGCTCGGCGTTTGACGACCGTTTAGTGGAGCGTGAACACTGGATCAGTTTGGAAATGGATGTGAAAGTAATTGCTTGTGTGCGCCTTCTCCATCGTCGCTATAAAAGATGATGGCAGAGGCAAAGAGAATTTTGGGTGCACCCAATATTACGAGATAGACTGATGCATGGAATGTTTGTGACGTTGTATCCAAAACTAAGATAATATGAACCCAAGTTTTTTAATTATTTTAGAATGTCTATAAAATCATTTGACTATGGCTGGTCTCTTTTATATTTCATCAATAAATAGATCAGTATCGAAATGATCGTTCTCCATTTCGATACTGATCTATTTATCTCGTCTCGTGTAAGAATTGCCTCTGCCATCGTCTTATATACCGACGATGGAGGGGGCACACACAAGCAATTACTTTCATGTCCATTTCCAAACTGAGCAAGTGCTCACGCTCCACTAAACGGTCGTCGAACGCCGAGCTAACGCGCGTTTAACGCAACGCAAAACGCCTAATGTGTACACAGCCTCAATCGCTGGGAAGATTTCAAGTGTACTGTACATCTACGATTAAAAATTTCTGGATCTTGCTTAACCAAAGTACAGACATTTCCTTAAATAGATGTTTGTGTGTATTAACAAAGAATATTGGTGTTTAATGGGTCTGTTGCGATGCAACTTTTAGATCCTGTGAAGTTCACAGAAGAAATGTATAAAATATTTATTACTTGATAAGAAGACTACCAAATAATTACAAAATTCCGTTATCGAATGCGTAACGACGATGCGAGTGTCACCGTTCGATCTCACAATTCTCTTAGCAATACACTGGACTAGTAATAATAAAATTGTCATTATTAAGCACATATGTCATACCTATTCTATAATAGCTAGCGGAGTTTTCGTGGCGATGTAACGTAAGAACTTTTAAGACAAATGATGAGTTTTTCCGGCTAGTGAAGAAAATTGTAAAGAACTGGAAAAATTCGAATCTTACAATTAAATAATAAATGCCGAAAGTAGCGGAACGAGGTGGCTATCACTACAGCATCTTGTTTCTCCTGAAGTACTACTGACAGATTCTATTCGATTATTTATTACTTGAAGTGACTGAAGACAAACTAAATTCTGCAGAAAACATTTTGTTTTCGGAATCTTTTCCCCCTCTCAATTGGACAGAATTTTATTTAAAAAAACAACGGAAGTTAATGTGAACGTTAGACATCCTGATAATTTTCGAATTAAGTAATGTTTGTTACTTCTGAATGCGGCGACATACCATTCCTGAACATGTATGGAATATTTTGTAATTGCTGCAGAAAAATTATTTTCATCTTTAAATAATCACTACGAAAATATTATTGAACTTTTAATACTTGGCAAATATAATAGGGTCCAAACTCGCGTACGGGAGATCCAACACCATATATAAGTTATTACGCAACGAGAAGGACAGGACCGATGAAAGTAGACCGCCAGGAGTAGGGCTATATAGTGTTCCGGTCAGGTACAATAGATTCCAAAGGAACTTAGTCTACACGATCATTACAAAAAAGGGTGCGGGAACATCGGTACGACATTGCTAACAAAAGGCATACCATCACGTATGCCACTGACCACGACGTGCGTGCAGACCTACAAAATGACAAGTTAATTAGGCAGTCTTTTCAAACGGACCATATTCGGAACCTGGTAGCCTTAGAAATTTACAAGGCCGGCCTGACCGGCAAATGTATTAACTTTAAAGACGACAACACTGTATCGTATGCATGGAGATACAGTACATTTATGAAAAACCGGGCAACCCTAACATATATTAATTTATCTATGCCATTAGTTACTTCTTAAAACATTTTTGTATGTGTGATAGTTATATATTTTATGATTTGTATATTGTCTACCGTATAAATTTTTATATACGTTACGTGTTGTTCCAAGTTTTAAAAAAATAATTTTTTAAATATGTTTTTTTCTATGCATTCTATTTTGGAATTTCTTTGGTTAAAAACCTTCGAAAACGTTCGTTATATGTTTTCATTAAAATTGTGTTACTGGATTTTAAAGGTTCTTGATTGTGTGTTATTCGCTCCAGTAATTCGGTAAGCAGCTACTTTTAACTTTTATAAGATTTTAAAAAAGCAAAGATGGTCGATACACCGATCACTCAATCAGGTTCTTATTTTAGTAACGAAAAGTCCCGCTACCGAGAATGCCCTTTTTGATTCAATTGATGCGGATGCACTTCTTTTGCCGTCTAGTATTCTCGATTTGTCTACCTCGGCTGCTTTAATAGCGGCATCGAGCTTATAGCCCGATAATTCGGCAGTTCGTTTGGATTTAATAATCAGGTTTATGAAGAAAAACTTCATACTCTCATACCTAGTACTCGTTTGTATCATGACCCAATTTGTACAACCTGGCATAATGCAGTTATCGAAGCTATTGGGCATTGTTAAAAATTAAGCCAGCAAAAGCGCAATTATTCGAGATATTACAGGTTCCGACAAGTAAAGAATTTTCAGTCTTGCCACAAATAGGCTACGTATTCATTATTAACAATTGTGATATGACATAACGAGCAAAAATTTAAAAAACTAATAAGCGGGCTTAAAATTAATAAATACAAATGTATTCTGACAGTTTGAGTTAATTATACTTTCTATTTGCAAAATTTCCTTGATCTTAACACAAAATAAGAAACAAGTAAACTTTTAATTAAGAAATTTGCGGGATTTCTCAAGATAAGAAGAACCTATCGGGATATTTCCTGGGTTAAAAAGCAACCGGAATTCCGGAATCCCGTTAAGAAAAACCCTAGCCGGGAGGTATTTTCCTCACCGGTCCCCTGTCGCCGTAATTATTACCCGCGGACAAAAAGTAGTAGGTAAATTCGACGCCGTTCTCTCTCTTTTACTTTTTAATTCCGTAAACTGCAGCGTAAATAATTATTTCTAAAATAAAAATCTTTTCCCACCGAATTTTATGGGCGTAGACTCAATTAAGTCAAAGGATAGGGCGCGCCACCTCCGGTGTGGCTAACCTTATTACTTTGTTTATAATTTACCTAAGAACTTTTAAGAAGTAGCGCATGAACTATTTTATCCGTTTCCCTAACTCTTATTCGGCAGCGCTCGATTTATTTGAAATCCTCAGTTTTGCCTTTTTCCAAAGTTAAATCGAAGACCGGATTTGCCATAAACGGAATCGGTTCTAAACCTATTTTTTTCTATTAACCGCGGAATGCGTCAGGCGAACTACAGTCGATCCCCCTATAAGATCATTGATTTTTCCGTTTTCTCTGAATTACATGTTGTACGAGTCACTTAGATTTTACAAATACGTGTGCCGGGCTGTGAACGGCTCACATATTTGTAAAATCTAAGTGACTCGTACAACATGTAATTCAGATAAAACGGAAAAATCAATGATCTTATAGGGGGATCGACTGTATTCGGGCCGTTTCTTTATCGTGGCGCCCCCATATAATTATTTTCCCTCCCGTAATTCCTCCGATAAATATACCTAATACAGACGTATTCCACTAGGCTCATGCCATTTTCCTCTTTCTTAAAAACGGAGCCTCTCGCGTGTGCATCGTCACCCGTCACCGCGGACGACGAACGACCGGTCCTTTCTCTGACGAAAAATGTATAGGTTCTGACCGGAAAACGTCGTTTTTAAAAACGTTTCCAACGGTAAATTGAAATATTTTTAATATTCCAATTCTTCCGGGTACTTCCGGTCTCCGTCTCCCACCGCCAAAAGTCACGTCGGGAAAGTACCCGGGAATCGGTGCGGGTCGGAGGCCGACTACCTGCTCGGATTAATTTTAATTATGAGTCGATAACGGCCGTTCCCGAAAAAATACCGGTCGCCCACCCGGAAAACATCTGATGGGGTGGGATTAAACGCCGTCCGGAGCGCGGCGCTTACCGCCTCCTTTCCGCGGCCGACGTAAGATTTAAACCCGCCATCGCCGCTTCTTCGGCTCCCCGGACGGACGCGTGGATGGTGCGTAAAAGTATTCGACGCTTCCCTCCGTTCCGGATCCCGGATTCTTCCGTAATTAAGTTCTCGGGCGCGCCGGAAGAGGACGTTTCCCGGCGGCCGACAGAAAGACGGGAAATATTTGGGGAAATTGAGGACGATCGATGGGGCAGGTGTCGGGCTCGTCCTCCGCCGTCCACCTTTCCGGGGTCAGGTTCGGTCCCGACGTCGAATTTGCGTAAGAAGCTGCGACGCTACGCATTGAGCCCGCGACCGGCGCGCTTCTCGCCGGTGGAGAGCCGGGAATCCGGTGGCCGTCACGCGCATTCCTTTCCGCCCGAGAAACCAGTTTCTTTTCTAATTATTAACCGGTCGACCTCGCACTCCTTTCCCTCCCCAAGGATTTCTCTCCCTGTCCTTCGCCTTCCCTCCCAAATCGCGCACCGGACTTCCGTCCGGGACGCTCTTAACCCCGTGGCCCTAGGTTTTCTCCCGGTTGACTGTGGCCCGCCGCCTCTCCGCCCCCAAGTTTCGTCCGGCCGCGGGCTGGAAATCGGACAAGAAAAGAACGGTTTCCCGGGGATAGAAGAAATTCTTCCTCCCGGCGAAGAAACCGGGTCGACGCCGTCGAAGCGCGACGGAAGACGTCATCGGCCGCGTCGCCCGACTCCCGTCGGTTTCTTTCGAAAGACTGAAGCCGCGTCGACGGAGAAAGCCCGACCGTCGGCCCACGAAGAAAATACGTTTTGATATTTCGGGAACCGGAAGAGAGGGACCGCCACGCGACGGCGACGTGCCCGCGGCGGAATGCGAAAAGTCTCCGCGCGCGACTGGCTGAAAGAACGAAAGAAAGAAACTCACCCCAGTTAACAGAAGCAGGCAGAGGACCGACAGGCAACCCAACGGGACCTCCGTCGGCCCGGGGCCCTTCTGCCGGGCCCTCTTCTTCTCCTCCGGGCAACACTCTTCCGTGGTGACAAAAAACGGAAGCAACGTCGCGATCGAAACTGCCGCTAAACTACGGCGCGCCGACCGATCCGCGACTCCTGCGCCCGAAATGTCGGCGCAGCTGCTACTACCGTGTTGCCAGATCGACCGCGCGAAATAGACTGTGGCGCTTTTTCCCCGGCCGCCGCGCCGCCGAGAAATTTTGCGGGACATAGTAAGGCTGGGTCGGACGAAAAGGCGGTATTTTACCAGATTTTTCGCCGTTGGAAACTGCGAAAGAGAAAGAAGAGGCGGTCGTTCCCGTTTATTTTCCATTACATTTCCCAATTTACGGCGGAAGTTCCTCTTTAAAGTTAACAGGACCCCGCGCTTGGTTCCAAATATTTATTCTGTTCAATGGCAGTCCAAATATATTAATAAATAAGTAGACAAAACTTTACAGATTACATCGCTATAATGTTCAATTTATGAATAGTGAATGTACCGGTACATACGTACAGTTCAGTACTGTACATGTCCTTTACGTACATTGGTGATATACGCCTATTTGAAAAATATAAAAAAGGTTTTTAAGAATATGGCATGGCTTTAGCAGCTAAGTTAGCCTAAGTAATTTATCACAAGATTGTGATAAATTACTTAAAATCCTGTAAATATGTGATGCTGAAAAATTAAAAGTGTCTGATGTTGTATATAAACTGTAACGATAAAGTTTATTACACAGGTAAAACTGACAAATTATTGAGGGTACGAATAAAAGAGCTCGAAGCATCAGTTATAGAATCAGCCAGTGGCGTGCCGTGACATTTGATGATAGGGAAGCTGTATTTTTGTAAGAAGCCGATTTCCAGGGGCAATCAGTTAATTCTCTAAATGTATTTTTAATAGATTATTTATCTAACGTACTAAATAAATAAGTTCAATATAATTACCTCTGTTATTAGTTTCAATAGGTTTCCTTTGCCCTCTAAATGCCAATTCTTGCTTTGATAAAAACATATAACATCTATTTATTTATATCTCGTTACAATTTTCAATATTTATTTTATATTATTTACTAATGTTAAATTCTATTCCGCTTCGATTTCCAAATTGCTTCAAATACGAAAGAATCGACGATTTTTCGTGTCTTTTGCCAGCTAAATTGTCAAAGACATTCTTATTCCACACACTAATTTAATTTGAAATTAGTAGGCAAAGCCAACAAAACAATTTTTTGCATTTTTATGCATTTACAGAGCCATTTTATCGCGAAAATGCCGAACAAATTTTTTTATTGAAGCGTTTATATTTAACTTAAGCATTGGCCTTTCTCTTTTAATATTGTTTTCTTTTTAATTATATGATCTCGAGCCAAAACTTTTTTAAAATAAATTTTCAATATCGCAATTACATTCTGAATCGCTAGCCACGATATAATGGCTGAAATTAAAAATAAAATTATAAAATCTTACTTGGTGAAATAAAATGTGTGGTAGATATCCATACCTGGTACAAAATATTCTTCAATTGTACGAATATACTTTTAAAGAAAATTATAGTTAAATATAGCTTTGTAATGAAACGTACATAAAAATAACATAAAATATTGTTTGCTCTTTAAATCTTAACCACTTAGTCAAATAGCTCCCTACGAGTAGAATCAGAGACGATCTTGGAGGTGTGCAGTCGTGCATGCATGCCAAATCCCCAGGGTGTCGATACCGGTTAATGTCAAATGCCTCCTTTGTCGCATCACTAGTATACCTCAAAGGACACGACACGGTTGTACATTTTAAACGTCTCTCACCATAGCTGTAAAAATCTAAATTTGTTAAACTTAATAGATTGTCCGTCGTTTGTTTTCTAACTAATTCGTTTTAGGACCAGGGACCATGAAAATTTCCAAAATTTACAACTTTTCAGTCACTGTCATTGAACTGGAAACATTTCTCTATTACATCTAATATTACGAAGAAATCAGTCCCCGCTCCTCGGCTATAGATTGGTTCGGTTAAGCTTTTGTTTAAGTAAAATTTCGGCTCTTTCATCAGGGTTTTATTTATGTCCCCAATTCCCTAATCGCTTAATTATTTAACTACTTCTTAAGTAGAAATAAGTCGAAACCGGTTACTTTGTACTCGAATATTTGTAGTCTCGGGAAAAAAGTGGAAAGACAAATTTTTATGACAACGAATACGTAAACCGTAAATTTAAGGAATATAAATTCTAGAGCTTTTTCTGTACGTCGTGCATCTCTCTCATTCATTAAATTTAGTTGTAAATGATGCTGTCAAAGTAACAGTTAACTTTTTAACATTATACAAGAATTGTACACGTTATTTTCTAAATACCCTTAAAGATGGGATATACGAAATCGTAATATCACTGGTTTAACTGTGAGGCTCTGGACAGGTCCGAACCTTCACTAAAATTCGCGTTAAAATAATTTTGTTTTAAAGAAAAAATATAGTAGTTAGAAATAGATTTTTATATGAAAACCCGACGCTAACTTTTAAACAATAGAAGAATGTAAGTCCGTCGACCATCTCCGGTTGGAGATCGAATTAATTAAACGTCGATTTTGACCTCGCCCGCGCCCCCGAAAGGTTTCGGGGTATCAGGTGACATGGAGAGACCAACCGGAAAGGGGAATCGGAGGAAAATGGATAAAACCACGGACATTCAAGGACGCGACGGCTTCTTCTCCCAAAAGTTCCAAGTGACGGATCTATTGTTGTGTGTGTGTGTCTCGCGCTCATCTTCGTTTCCATCTCCCGACCTCGGATCGACAACTTTCCATCTGTGGTGGTGTGGAGGACAAAAAATGATGACAAAGAAGTAACCATAAAATTAAACAGGATATTTATTCAACTACAGCTACTTAGTCCTTCGTATACCTGGTTCGTTTACACTAAACACACTTGATCCCAAACTATAGTACGTGCACAAGTTCGAATCCGTCCGACCAGTGCCGGCCCGAGGCAAGTTTTAGGATGGAGCGAAATCCTATTATGGCGTCCCCTTGGTCAGTAGCGTAGCGAACATAAATGGCGCTCGGGGCACGACACTTTATTGGCGACCCCTCCAGAAACACATATAGTTTGTCTTGGAGACCATTTGGGCGCCCCTCTGCGAGTGACGCCCGGTGCTTGATACATTCCCTTGCACCCCCTCGCTACGCCACTGCCCTTGGTTGGCCCAAATTTATACCCTTTAATTTTCTTTACCACTGAGGCGTTCCCTAGGACTTAGCGCCTGGAGCAGCTGCTCCTTTCGCCCTATGGTAGGGCCGGCTCTGCGTCCGACAAAATTCTGTGTTTTCACAAGTAGAAGACACGTGCTCGCGACAATAAAAAGATCAGCGGCGGCCTTATCCATTGCGAGGCTCTGGGCGGCAGATCTTTGCGAGGCCCTTGTCCTTTGTGCAAAGTATGTGAATTGAAATAGTAGGCACTTATTAATATTAATATATACTGTACTATAAATTAAATTTATTTTATTGTTATAACTAATAGCCAANATGACAAAGAAGTAACCATAAAATCAAACAGGATATTTATTCAACTACAGCTACTTAGTCCTTCGTACACCTGGTTCGTTTACACTAAACACACTTGATCCCAAACTATAGTACGTGCACAAGTTCGAATCCGTCCGACAAAATTCTATATTTTCACAAATAGAACACGTGCTCGCGACAATAAAAAGATTATGGTTTAAGATACTACAACTACTTAAATCTACCTTAATCTAGCTTATATGCTAAGGAAGAAGGGTGAAGAAATTAAGAGATATGAAGAGAAGAGATAAGTATAAAGGACAGATTTTGTGGGGTACCCGGGTAAACTTGGGAGTCTCCTATCTTCTCTATATCGGTACTTGAATTAACTCAATTTCCTTCCTCTTGATTCCGTCTCTTGAGAATTCGGGAGCGTTTTTCTTGAAGTCTTAATCTGGGTGTCTTTCTAATTTTCGTCCGTTCGCAGACGACTTCCAAGCCTTCTCCGTTTGTCCCACTAGGTGACAAACCTTTAGCTTGCTGTTTCCTACGTCTGTACACCTCGGACGCTGACCCGAAAGTGTCTTCTTCGTTCTCCTGATGGCCTCAGGGCTTCTTAATGTCCCCTTTTGTCTTCTCCCTTTGTCCTTGGACAAAGGTCCCCCCACCCATAGAAAAAGAATAGCTTAGAAAGTTCTAGAAACACGTTAAAGACAAAGGAATTTAGGAGAAATAAAACTTATATCTACCCCTATGTACAAAGACATGGCGTACCGCCACACATCAAAGGAAGTCGACCGCATCGTCCCGGAGCCGTCGAGACCCGATGGAATTGTTCATTTCCATAGTTCCCATTCCAAAATGGGACTATCTTGGAAAGGAGAGGAAGACTCAGAGGCCGCAGAACTTCCAAGATCGCGGAAATCTTGTAAGCTTCTTTCGTGTTTAATAAACGGGTTGTTGTTGTTGTTGTAGTAAACGAGGCATCTATCTCTGACTCAACTGCTTCAACATGTCGTTGATTGTTACCGCTCGGCAGTCCAGACGGCAAGGGAGACGATGACGATATATACTGTATCACACATAATCGTTCATTTGAGTATTTTTAAATTTCTCCCCCTCGGCCCCCACATAACATTGAAATCCGCGAGTAACATAAAATCGGAGAAAGGAATAAAAATATCAAATATTTTAATAGATTTTTTTAAACCCCTGTCAACAATACAGAACTATCATAAAAACATCAGTAAATTCTTATCGGTCGGGTTAAGTTATAAATCTACTCGTGATTTACGTAATCGGGCGAGGGCGGCCAAATATCTAGCGGGCAGGCGGCTAACAGTCCAGAACGGGTCCTGGATAGAATTGGATGCGGTATACGTGTAGCATCCACCCAAGGTCTTAGGCTTCCACCAGATAAACCAGGTGAGGTTGGTGCTCTGTAAAGCGCGTGCGCGAATCTGGCTTTTTGGATGTTGACAATACAGCGCTTCCACTCCGCCACTAAGACCCTGTACACACTAGGCGTTTTTCAACGCGCGTTTTGCGAGCGCTTTTAAACGCGCGTTTTGCGAGCGCTTATAAGAACCAAGAGTTCTATGTAGCCGTACACACTCAAAAGCCAAGCGCGCGTTAAACGCGCGTTTTGCGAGCGCTTATAGATTTTTGTTAAAACGCGCGTTTTGCGAGCGCTTTACGGGCGCTTTGAGATATATGTGCTGCCATGTTACCG